TCGGCTATTAAAAGCATTTTCTTTAAAACATTTCTATCCGTAACTGACGCGTAACAACGACAGGCCTAGTGTAACTGAGTATCATAACTTCATTTCCCACAGCACGATATGAGCATCGTTGCTGTTGGGATCTTTGAAAGTGTAGCCCGATTTAGAGCCCTTGTCGGTAACTGATTGCGCGTTTAGCTGTCTCCAATTGATGTAACCCCTGCCACCCATTAATGTTAAAACGGTTCGTTTAGGCTGCTCGATTTGTTGTAACGTTGTCTTGTTGATCTTCTTACTGTTCGTCTTTAAATTATTGGTCGGTGGTATCGGTTCTGGCACAGACTGTCCTATACTACTGTTAGGAGTGGTCGTTTCGTAGGGGCCATTTCGACTAGCAGTGCTACTGTTTCGTGACAATTTGCCAGTTTTCAATGACAGGTTCTCCTCAGAACCAGATGACGTATAGAGAGAACTCGCGTGAGAATCGACCGACCAATTCGACAAATCGAGCGACCTGGGCCTAGTGATCTTCATCTTCAGTCTACGATCTAACGTGCTAACTTTATTTGGTATGGCTGCCAGTTCCGGATCGCTTCTTCGCAACGGCTCGTAAATCAAATCGATGCCGGAGCTGTTCTCATTCTCGTAGTCTTTCACGTACATCAATTCCCCGTATAAGCCGTAAACGTCGCAATTCTCGCCGGAACTCTGCGATCCGGACATCGAGCTCGACAGGAATCCCCCGCCGGAACCGAGCCCCCTGGGCAGCGTTTTAGAGCCTCTGTACTCGTATTCTTTGCTACGTTTTCGTCTTAACATCACTGGACTGCTGGCCAATTGCTGCTTTAACTTCAGTATGCTATTTGACATAGAGGAATCTAAACTTGCTCGATCCCTGCTTCGACTGTTGTCGGATTCCTTCGACCGTAACTGCACAGTTTCTTCGTCGGTGATCTCGTCGGTCGCACAGTTTATCGTGTTTTTCGGATTCTGTATAGCAAGCAAGAAGGTAATAGGACCGAAGTGCGCGTGGTACGAAATATTGACACGGCCACTGATAATGGGCACGCCTTCCAGTCGTGGCAGAGGAATCGTCAGACTGATGCCCACGTTTGTACCAACCCAGAGCAGACCCTTGCAGGCAAGAAGCGCTGTCACGGTGACCGCTGTTTGATTGTTGTTCAAGTTATCGCCACAAGAATTGGAGGAGCTGTTCGACCTCGTCACTCTCAACACGTTGGACGCTATGTTAATGTCCTGCAAGTGTTTGAACGTCTCAGTGTGATACAGGCAGACGGTGCTGGAGTTTTTGAGGGCGACCCAAAGTCCGACTCCGGAATGAGCCATAAGCTTCACACTGCCGACGTGTTCGTGCTGTGCGCTGAAGCTCTTCATCACGTCGCCGCTGACTGCGTTAAGTACCCAAACTTTTTTGCCGCAGGCAACGTAAACAGACGCGTTGATCGGCATCAAGCAGGACACCGGTTCGCTACCCAGTGATATCACGAACGGATCTCTGAGATTCCAAGTGCCGTCCACTTGCCTTTTGAAAAGGAGGAGCAAACCAATTCCCAGGGCAACGAAAACATTGTCGCAGTGATACTTGATTTGTATGACTGGACCCGAAACGGAATAACTTCCGAGTTCTTCTTGCTTCTCGGGTTCCGCGCCGGCGTAGATCATGATCTTGCGAGAGTCCGTGCCCATCCACACGAGGTCGCTCGCCAACGAAAGTGGATCAGAAGACACACCCTTCACGAACTCTATGGCCGCGACTTTCGTCTCCACTAGATCAAAAGCTGTGACTTGTTTCAATGAAGTAGCTGAGGCTGTCGTTGATTGACCAAATACTGTCACGTGACTGGATATACCGTCGCCAGTACATATCCACAAGTAACTTTGACTTCTTCCACGGCGCCTCGTGGGACGTGGATTTTGCGTGGTATAGTAGCAACCGCAACGTACCTAAAACACATATAAACATGTACGAAACTTAGGAATAATTAAAAGAAATAATCATCGCTCCGTCATTGTAAAAATCTCACTTCTGTCTGATGTTGCGAATGATACACTTGTTGAGAACTGACGAAGAGCGGCATTTTCGTAGATGGCCGCTGTTCTTGTTCAGGTACTTCCCAAGATGGCGAATTATTCGGATCTAAAGCTAGCTGTGCCAGTCTAAGCTCCGTTATCCAGTCTTTCTTCACTAAAGGATTTTCCGTTTGGAACGTGTACATCTGTCCTTGTTTCGTCACTAATTGCAAACAACAACTATCTGCCCAAACCATATCTTCATCCTTCTGTTGTATGGAGAGTTGTATGGATTGCAAAATTTGTTTAGTTTTCTCAAGCGTCATTCCCTAAAGAATCCAGAATATATATTTGTCCGTACACGTATAAAAATCAAAGCGATTGTAATTCGTTTTTCGCCTACCTCGTATTTACCCTTTAGTTGCGCAACCAAGTCACTTATCCTAGACATGACTTCGTAATCGTGCATTAAATCGTTCATTTCTACGCAGAGATTATCTGCACCCACTTGTCCGCAATCTCCACTCTTATCAGATTTTAGGCTCCCGCCTTTATTTAGACCGGCAGTCAGTAAACGACTTAACGTTGGCGAAGTGCTTGTATCCTGAATCTATAGTGTAACATGGTGTTGTTGATATTACTGTTATCAGCAATATAATTTCAATATTGCTATTATTAGTGTCATTAATCACTATAAATTTTATAAATTGTATAAAGAACACACATTGAGTTGTTATACCTCAATATCTGATACGGGATATGTCCACTTCAAAGTCAGTCTTTCACTGCCGCTGAAGTCCTCTGCGGATCTTGGAGTTACCGAAACGCACACCACAAGATCATTCAATAATAGTAACCTCCTTCTTTTAGACTTTGTTATCATGCCATTTTGATTAAATTCCTAAAGCAATTTATTAAATTAAATATAAATAACGAGTTATATTGGGATATTTGATTATTTTGTTAGAGACGCATATATTTACCAACTGCGTAACGTTATCTTCTCTTATGAGGTACCTAGATGAAGACGAAAGAGGACGATGAGACAATTTTCCAGATACATGCCGGAGCATTTCTTTAAACGCTTGGAATTGTTCCGCTTCGCGTTTCCTTTCATTAAGCATTTCCGCTAAACTCTCTAATTGAGTCAATGCCAATTGCAACGACATTCTGTCATGATGACCCTGCGGTGTGTGCTTCAGTAAATCCTAATCAAAAGTTTGTGTTATTACACACTGCGACGTAAATCATTGAAAATAAAAATAAAAAATACTGCGCTCACCTGTAAGAATAATATAAATTGTGGAAACCTTTGCACAGGTTTCACCATTAATCCAAAGAAGGACAATCTGTCGTGTGCACTTATTTGTTTCACCTGAGATACAACCGTATTTTAAATTATTTTATAATACAATCGCTTATATTATTATACTACTATATTACTACATACCTTGAAAAAATCGGCGAGCGCAGTCTTTCTTTTGGATTCTTGCTTAGCCAAGTCCATAGCTACTGAAAAATTATTTATAAACCCACTGTAAATGTCAAGAACGATAGCTTTGCTGAAACTTGCTACAAACACGTCTCCTAACTTCTCGTCCTTGTCCCATGAACGTACACATTCCGCTAATGCAATCCTGAATAACGTATGGCATTGCAGAATTTCAGGCAATCTGTGAAACAATGTCGCTATCTTTGCCTGACTCAGTATAGGCGGCGAAGATTCTTCCAACGGTTTCTTGTAATCCTAAAGAAGATATTTCTACATGAAGTTCTCCGAACGAATCATGCGCAGAGCGGTTTAAACTAACGTGTACGTACATTCACTAGCCTCTGTAACGTGGACACATAACTGTTTTCAGAGTGTACTATAGCTGCTACTATGTGTCGACGTTTCAACTGTTGAGGAGTTAAATTCGGAGGTGTTGGAGGAAGGGCGGGTGGGGTTTGCCTGCGTTGCTGCATGCACTGAAATTGCACCATTGCACTGTTTTCCTCTTCAACCTGAAACACGTGTATTCTCAGTAAATCTGTGTTAACTTATCTTTATAGTATTTACTCGATAACCATTTCTCCAAAATTTTATCTTGCTTGTAAAAGCTTTTATTTCAAATTTGTTAATGGACTAGGAAAATAAAAAGAACAGTAATTATTTTTACCATTAAGGTGCAAGAGGAATGGATAGAAATAATCTTTTGGACAATTACTTCACAAAGTTGCGGCATTTGAGGAGTTTTGATGGGGCTGGTAAGGGACACCGTGTCGGAGGAATCCACGTCATATTGTTGCGTCGATCCTCTCCGGATGCTAAACCATCTAGATAGTCTTCCATGGTTACCGGGCGAGTCCAATGGGTCGGCATTGTTCACTCGCATATTTTGCGGCCTCCACTTATCGCACAGTGTCCTTGCCTTGTGTAACGTGTTTCTCAATTGACAATTACTTCTATGGAGAATTAATAATCGTTTCGATTAATTATACGTATCCTCAGGAAGATGTCAATATGGGAACAAACAACAATTGATTCTCTGAACCAACAACAATTGTACCCGACGAATTGATTCAAATCATCGAGTTTATCTCTCTTAGTTTAATGTTCAAAAAAAGCATGAAGTTTCCTTCGAAAGGAAATGCTTAAGTTACTTTGGAAAATTAAAATTGTGGCAGCTTGTATCTTTTCGGAGACAAGACATAAGACTTTGTTACAAGGAAACATCCTCGTTTCATCCAAGTCATGCAATTTTTTTTTCTTTTTTTTTTTTTTCATTTTACAAATTATTAAAATTTATTCGATGTAGTTAGTGCTTACTTAATACTGATATTACTCTTCTCACTCTCGTCATCCGAGGAGAGGTCATGATCTGACGCTGAGCACCAAGAGTCCTCGCTTCTAGCCGACTGTGTCGAGGTATTGGATCTAGTTGCCTCTAAAGATGGATGATGTTGTCTGTGCGTTTGACCGATAGTTTCCATTTTAGTCGGTCCTACGTCATCCCATGATCTACACCTTGAACGTGGTTCATCTAAAACCGAATTAAACACGCCATAAAAAAAAAAAAAAAAAAA